TGGCCAAGCCAGCAGTGCTTGGGAAGCAGGAGCAGAGCACTCGGGCGAGATGCAAACACCTCTCCACCATTTAGAAGGTTTAAATGGCTGAGGTTGGAGCATTGGACCCTGGGCGTCCCCAGGGCCAGGAAGGGCTGGGGCCCAGCACGCTCCCCCCACAGCATTACCTCTGCGATGAGCTCCGCCAGCCCCGGGTTGCAGAGCAGGAGCCAGCGCCGTGGGGTGATGCCGTTGGTCTTGTTCTGAAACTTCTCCGGCTCCAGCGCGGCAAAGTGCTCGAAGCTGCGAGGACGAGGAGGGAACAACTTCAGGTTTGCCTGCTGGCACCACCATTCCTGAGCCAACGGTGATCTGCCACCACGCTTACACTTGAGTCTTGACTATTTCCGAGTGGATCTTTGCCACGCCGTTGACAGCGTGGGAGCCGACGATGCAGAGATGGGCCATGTTGATCCTCTTGGTACCTCCCTCCTCAATCAGGGACATCCTCCGCAGCCGGTCCACATCATTAGGGAAGAGGAATGCGATGTGCTGCAGAGGAGGCCAGAGAGATGGTGAGAGGTGCTGGCATTTAGGGATGTCCCTCCTGATGGCTCCTGAGGAGAGGGCCACAGCAATGTCACCAATGCATTTGACACCAGCCAGAGCGGTGGCTTTTGCTTGAGAGTGACAGAGCAAACCCCCTCCAAAGGGCACCCTTCCCCAGCATGGGTGTCTCCAGACTAAGGACCTCCCAAGCCCCCATGGAGAGGGGCTTGTGGGCACGTGTGTGGCCAGCGGGGCTGTTCTGGTAAAAGTCTTGTGCTGAGAGCCCAGGAGGCCAAACCTCCACCTCCTTTGTACCCTCAACCTCATCCTTTTCCAGGATGAATTTAGCATTTAGGGAGCAAAGAAATGCCAACAGGTACGTCGCTGGAGCAATGTGTGAAGCCTTTAAAACAGCCAGTAACTGCAGGATGGCAAGATGCTGGTGGGAAAGGGCTTTTCTGCACACCAGCCTCCCAAAACAGCAGACAGAACCAACCGGCCACACCCCCAACATCTGTGCACCCTTTAGTCCTGACAGCACAACACGTGCCATCCTGTGCCCCTCTCTGGAGAGGGCTCCTGTGCTGCCCCAAGGGACTTACATCCAGGTGTTTCTGGTTGATCTCATAGATGATCTGCAGGTGTCTGGGGAGCAGTTTCTCCACCAGATCCACTGGCCAGCGCTCCAGGGCTTCGGGAAGCACTGTGTGGTTGGTGTAGGCGAAGGTCCGCTTGGTGATGTCCCAGGCCTGCCGTCGGGAGAGCTGACACTGAGCAGCGAGGCTGGGTGCCAGCACCCATGCATGGTCCTCCCACCACGGCCAGCAGCATGGCCAGGC